AAAACCATATACATGCTTAAGTCAATTTCCATCGGACCTCAAAACTTTTCCTTAGTTTACTTTATTATTATACATTATTAATGGGAAGAGATATGCCGCATGGATGTTGATAAGTCAAAAGGTAAGTCAAACGAAAACAAGCCAACATCAATCTGCATGTTAACTAAGGATACAAATAAAATAAAAACACAAACTTTATGTTTACTTTTAGTGAGGCATAAAACCATGGACAACACAAGTCTGTTGAAGCCAATTCAAAAGCAGCGCAATCAAGTTAGATTCAATAAAACAGCCATACCTCAAAATCAGAATAATGGATCTGTCAAGAGGTAGCAAAAGAGGAAGAATTGTCGCCTTATTAATTCCAAAGAGCCGTATTGCAGAGTAACAGAAAAGGTGGGTAATTTCTATCGGTTCTAAAATATGCAGCCTAGGCTCTGATACCATATGTAAACTATAATGACTACACATGATAGAACACACATCAAGGCTATACAAGAGCACATCTCCTCAATCCGATCCCTTCATACACTCATTCTAGATGGGGTGAATTCTTTTGTGTGGGTTGGCTTGATCGGTTGAGCAGGGGCACTTGTATTTATATGCATCTACCTAAGAGTCTTGCCCATCAAGAAACTCTTAAGAAGTCCTTATTGCATTAGGTTTATAACTTCTAATCCACAATTAAATAGGAATCCTTTTAGCTCTTATATTAGCCTTAAAACACTAACTTAAATAGAGCTGCCGGTTTAGTTGCACTTGAACTCCTAATTGATATCAAGTCTTTAGAATCCTTTGATGATTATAAGACCACACTTTAATGGGTTAGACATCTACACGTCTAACAACTTCAAGAATTCAGCTTCTTCCTCCTCCTTTTGTTCTTAGAATCGTCTTCCTTACAATCCCATTTCTGCTTGTCCATTGATTTGCAGGTATGTTTATTTGCTACCACTTTATATGCTGAAAAAACAATCTTTAATGTTGGGGTATTTAAAGCCAGAGTGGTTTTGATCTCTTCATGAAGCCTCTTAAACAGCCTTGAAGCATTTCTCTGCTCCTCTGCTAGCTGAGAAGGTTGGATCTTATTCATCACCAACAAAATCCCAGTGACAGCCTTGTATAGGGAGACTAGAAGAGAGCTTGAGAGCCAAAATGGGTGCTCCAGCTCCACACACAGCTGCAAGTCCAGCCATGATTGCAGCAGTTGCTGTCATTCCAATTTAGTTGTTACGTATCACACTAGTTTTAGGTTACCGAACATGAACTTTGAACTATTATCCAGCTCATTCCAATCTCACCTCCCAAACAAGGATAACAGGATATCCATCAAGGTAACCAAATTTCAAACCCTTGCGTTGTGAAGTGTAATTTAATAAGGAAAAAGAAAATGAGCAAGAAGCTGCAGTCTCAGCAATTACAGTGACGTGTATACAATGTCACATGCTTTTTGTTCTTTGGTCGGTAAGCATATAATACATTGCAAGCGAAATAACGTCGTGGCTCATATTGTCTGCTGTCTACAGCTGGAGGAAACTTGCAATCATCACTGGTCATGCATACAATTACAAGTTTATCGCCAACGAGATCTAACCCAGTGAAAAATAGCATTAACTTGCAGACCAATGATCTCAAATTCGAACCCCCATGACACTTTGATAGTGCGTGTGAGAAAACCCCCCTCCCCTTGCATGTGGCCCTTAAATTTGTACAAACACTATTCGTTCCTAACATTTTTATGCATACATTAACAGAACTATTCTCTAAATAGTTCTTTAAACAGAGTTATTAAATAATGACATTGCTTAACTCTTAGCTTTTCTTCAATAAAAAAAACAGGTGTTGGCTTTTCATATTTTACCCTCAATTCGATTGGTGCATTAAAATTTCCATTTCAGAAAGAAACTGCACACACGATATTAAAAAGAAGCTGAATACTCTTAGGCCAGCCTGCCTTTTTCTTCAGTCTTGTGTTGTACCTTACGGCCATTCGGAAAGAGCTCAAACCCAATTCAATAAATTACAATACGCTACAGCATTGCAGTAGCATGAGTAAATGGACATGACCAACAAAACAACCGATTTGAATCGCCGGCCAAAATAAGATTTAAGAATTTATTATGATCTAATGTCATCAGATACTTTTGAATAAGACATTTTCCATGCAAAGATATGAAAGTTGGAAGGAATTTCACTTGGAAACAATTCCCTATGATAAGATTCACAGTAGCATAAAACAAGAACTAGGCCGATCAACTACAAAAATCGGAAGACTCAACCTGACAAGCTCTCTCATTTCAGATTTAATCTCAACCAGCCGCAATTGAATAACCCACCTATAGGGTCTCAACTAACAAATCAGATCCTACAAAATTGACCTATTACGTATTTATTTTTCCTTAAGTATATTTGATTCTCGAAAAACCCCCGAATGAAATCATGTACCACTGCCGGTGGGGTGCTTCATATGTCGAGGAGAAGCCTCCGAGGATCCTCAACAACATCTTTAATACGACGCAAGAAGAAAACTGCCTCTCTTCCATCAATCAACCTATGGTCATAGGTAAGAGCAATGTACATCATTGGCCGCGGAACGATGTCGCCTCCAACAACCATTGGACGGGTAACTATTGAGTGCATACCCAAGATTGCTGACTGCCAAAAAATAAATCACTTGTGTGAGATTTCTTTTCATTTTTACATTTTGTAGTTTCAGAAAATAACTCACAAACCCAGAGCAGGAATTGAACCTGAACCTCAACATCGACGCCCTACTAATGAGATGCCATTTGGCCTAAATGGCTAAAGTCATGTATGAATCTCTTTCAAATATCTTAGGTATCTATTTCCGGCTTCCCAGACTAATAAAATGGATGAACCAGCATTCTAAAACATTTAGTTTTCGATATTGTTGTCTACCTAAAAAATGAAGTTCCATTTGTTGAAATAAGATGATAAAATTTCAAGTTAATTGTGTCAGAAAAGCACCAGACCTGAGGGGGGTTGATGATGGGGGTACTTATAAGGCTTCCATAAACTCCACCATTGGATATAGTGAATGAACCTCCAGCCATCTCATCAATTGATATAGATCCATTGTTTGCCTTCTTTGCAAGGGTGTTCATCTCCTTCTCTATCTCAGCAAAATTCATTTTATCGGCATTGCGAATAACTGGCACAACAAGGCCCTGCAAGGAAATAAATTGAGGGAAACTTACAGTAGCAATTAAAATGCATTTTGATTTTACAATCAATATTCAGTCTACTATGTTAATATTCATATCAGAACTTAATAACCATGAAAAATATGTACTTTGCAAAAAGTTATCAACTTCTGAGGTATAAAAAACTAAAAACTAAAATGGGTCCTCAACAATAATGATGTGGCCCTGCCAACTAAAGTATAAGGTCAAACGGATGAAACAAACTAGATCCTGGTCAAGCATATTGAGCTCATATGATATAACACATAATATTAAAAGCAACGGTATGGCATTTTTCACTCTTTCTTAAAAATCTAAAAACATATTTCTCGATGGGATCTTTACAGACTAGAATAATGTTAAACCAAAGTTCCAAATGCAAATATCGATTATCAAAGAGAGAGAAACAAAACATTAAAAAACCTTTTACATACAAACGGCTCTTTTGACATCTAAGTCTGCAATTCGTCTAGATGAACATAGTAGGTAAATAAATCAAAAGAATCATGGCCAAACCTTGGGAGTACCAACGGCTATGCTTATATCTATGTAATCTCTATATATGATATCATCCCCATCAATGACTGCATTAATAATAGGCTGATTTTGGAGTCCACTGACAGCAGCCTGTTAACAGAAACAAATAAAGATTTATAAGTACACACATGCATGCAACATTTTAGTCTGTTTCATATTAGCAATTCTACATGTATTATGTATTGCATACTTTTATAAATCCAGACATAAGCCCCAACTTGACTCCATGCTTCTCAGCAAATGCATCCTTGTAGTCAGAACGAAGCTTCATCAAATTTGTCCTATCACAAGCAGCAAATCAGTGAGGGAAGATAAGATCATACATACATACATGTATAATTCGGATAACACTAAAAAGAACAATTTGAGTTACCTAAATGAATTAATCCCAAAAACTGGAAAACAGAAACATGACATAGGATGAAAAAAAAAATTAGTTATAACTTACATATCAACTTCATTGAATGTCGTCAGCATTGCGAATGTGTTTTGTGAATCTTTCAATCTCGTAGCAACCCGTTTCCGGAGCCTTGTCATAGGAATCTGCAAGCATGAGGTTCCAAATTATTAAAAAAATATAATAAAAGATTACCATATAAATTGTTTATAAAGATTTTTTATTATTAAGAAGGGCAAAAAGGTATTAAAAAATCATAGAAGACTTACTCTTCTTTCCCTTTCCTTAGGGGTAAGCTGGGGTTCTCTAGCAGAGGGTTTAGAAGGTGGTGGAGAGTGAGGTTTAGGTTTCTCAGTAACAGGTGTAGTTTCAACTTTTGGTTCTTTCTTCTTGTCAATATTTTCAACAGGGGGAGATGGTCGAGCAGCAGCTTTGTCAGATGTCTTCTCAGATGGACCAACATGGTCTACACCATCAACAGACTTTGAGATAACAGCAATCTTGGTACCTGGTTCGACAGTATCCCCTTCATTGGCCACAAACTGCCACAATTGAAGTAAACATGCAGGCAGACTAAAACATTCAGAAACCAGTCCATAACTAGAAAAGAGCCCCAAATTTACTGGGGCACATTAATCTATACGGGGATGGGGGAGGGGGGGACTGCAAAACCTATTACCTTTTGGATCACACCGGACTGAGGACTAGCAACATCAATTGTCACCTGATGAAAAATAAACACAGAATTAAAATCCAACTCCTGATTCCTGTCAAATGGGGGTTAACAATCCTGTTTGGAACTTTGTAAAGCTTCCATAAAAAATTCAAATAAAGCTTTATGCTAGAACCTTATCTGTTTCAATTTGAGCAATTGGTTCATCAACTTCAACACGATCACCAGGGTCTGCAGGAAAATATGATACAATCAGTCAGAATCAGACCAAATAAACAATTGAACATTACGAATATTTGACAGAATATCAGGCTGAGCTTACTCTTCAAGAATTTCGCCAAAGTGCCATCAGTAATAGATTCACCCATATGAGGGACGACGGCATCAATGAAATCCCCTTCATCACACAAGCAACCAAAAGTTAAATGTCAGCAGAGAGAGAGAAAGAAAGAAATCAGATACCAAAACCATTAATTTCCCCATAGGAACTAAAATATTATGAGAACACAACACATATACAAAACAAAGGTGCCTTTTTACCGAGAAGACACCAATACAAATTATCAATCATAATACTTTCCAAGGTACCATAAATTGTACAAATTTAGAAGATAACCAGTTTCAGATAAATCACTCCAGGATTCTGTACTATTCCCCCATTATGAATCTTACAAATGAAACCACCCCTGCTTTTCCTACTAGTGAAATGGTGAAAAACTAGTACTACCCCTAAGACAAATCTCAACCTCAAGCTCATCAATGCTCTAAAATTTGTTTGTTTGTGAATGTGTGTCTCTGTGCAGGAGCTTGTAGTCGACAAAGATAAACAATTAAATATTTGAAGTGTTGCTCCAAAAATGTGCTTAAGGAACAGGGCATGTATACTTCAACAATAAAAGGCATACAGACGGTTATAATATAATTAAGTTAAATTGATGGGTGAGAAGAAGATATCACACCAGTCTCTGAAGAAAAGGGCCTGCTCCACATTTGCCTGATGGGCTCTGGTTGCATAACGCCGCCAACATTCCTGTACACCAGTAAAGCCATGAGAATTATCTTTTTTTTTTTTCCTTACAAAGAAAAGTGAATTGGAGTAAAGGAAACATCAATTTACAATAAAACTCAAATAAAAAGAGGAAAATAACTTTAGCTCACTCCTTCACTAAAAATTGTGTCATGTTAATGAATTGAAATTGCCACGTTGGTCTACAATTCAGGCCCAAGGTGACAAACAGAGATTGTAGATACATATAGAGATGGGAGAAGCTAATAGGCACCCAAATGGTCCTGCCCTAACTGTAAATTTCAAATAGATGCAGCCCATACAAGAGGTTCTTGCCTGAAAAGCGCTTACTAGCTTCATACCATTATCAATCATTTATGCACACCAATACGTAACACATTTGACTTGACTACATCCGATGTTTTAGGCACTACATCGAACCAGATTGGCACGGAGAAGAAATCCATCTCATTTGAAGCAAAGCATAATGTAATTCAGTGGTAAACAGTATAACATTACGCTCAATTCTCAAAACACTAGTTAGTAATTATCCAGTAAAATAGAATAAAGAGAAGCAACAAAATGGCGTCACTAACCTGGTTTTCTTGATACAAGGCGAGGAACCTGAAATACGAAAAACCGATACACTGATTGAACTAAACAAACAAAACCATACGTACATAAGATCAATTATTGAGCTAATTAAACCCACCTGCAAAAATGAGGTGAGAAAGGTTCCGGACCCGACCCAATCCTCCTCTAGGTTGAAGCAGAATCTGTCCCACGTACATGGAAATCAACAATTGCAACAAACATATGACATAATGCACACTAAAAAAACAAAACCCATATTTCCAAATTCCACATTGATGATATAAGCTAGCAAGCAAAACCCAATTCATTTTATAATAAACAGAGACATGCACACCGTGTAACATCACAAAAGGACACAATATTATATATATATATATATAATATTATAATGAAAGGGGGGAAATCCAAAATAGTTTAGAAGGGACCTCAGAGCTTGCAATAGGTCGGATTGAGTGCAATGACTGCCCCAGAATCTGAAACAAACCGCATAAATAAAGCTTGCAGAATATATTTTGACGAAATATATTTCAAATTTTAAAAAGAACAAAAAAGGAAGAAGAAGAAGAAGAAAGAAAAATAGGAATATATGTAATGGGATTATATTACCGAAGCAGAGGAGGCTCCAGAAACGACTCTTCGCCTTATAACGCCCAACATCGTCGTTTGGGATCACTCTGTGAATCTGTGTGTGGGTTTAGGGTTTAAGCTAACTAATAAATAATTAAAGTGAAGATTTTCAGAACGTCGTAGGGTTTCACGACAACTATCACTCTCACAAGCAGACAGAGACGGCACCAAGATGTTTAAGCGACACGTCTTGGTTGGTCCTCACTCTTTTTTTTTTTTCTTTTTTTTAACTTCCTCTTTTATTTATTAGTCTTGCTCTTTACTCCTGCTATATTTATTTCTATTCTATGTAACATTAATATGTAGATTCTTTCTGGAAGGTGCTTTTTAGGGGGGTGGAGACAGCGGTGGCGAACAACCGCCCTGACCGTTCAAACCGCCTAGATTAAATCAATTTGACAAGTTTAGTTCCATTTTTACACTAAAAACATGCACGTTTGGATTAAACTGAACCAAATCACAATTAATTTAATTTGGGATTTATATAAAAACTGCCTAAACCAAATCAAATAACGAAGGTTGTCATGTCAGTCACAATAATCAACACCGATGCAGATAATCACATAGAGTTAATATAAATACATAAGCACAATAATTACAAGGGATTGATCCAAATACGGAGGAGTCCACTAGCAACAACACGAATAGAAAATGTACCTTCATTCATAGCCACACAAAGCCTAAGAAATTTGGACAAAAAAGTTACAAGCTTGGAAAAAATATATACCCACTGGCGGAACCAAGTTAAAGGCTACCATGAGCTCTATAGCCCATGGTAACCTTTTTTGAAAATTAAAATGCACTAAATGTATTTTAATGTGATTTTAGATTAATTTGCTTGCTCAATTAAGAAATAATCGCTTAGTAAACACTCATGACTTTAACTCTCCACCTTTTCCTATTTTCTCCTATTGTTTTCTTAATTTGTTTTCGTGAAAATATTCATTTTAAAGACACCATTTTCAATTAGATAGTCTAAAGGGTGGGCGTGGTGCGGTTCATATGACGAATGAGTTTATATCAATCTCTATTATTGTCTACATTGAAAAAGAACTTGCTGATAATATCGATTCATACACACTAACAAAAGATTTCAATTCTCTCCAGGATCATAGGGCACAACTTGAATATATACAATTTTAATTCCGTTTAACATTTTTTCATTTTGATATTGTGTATTTTTGGGTGCATTTCACATATATTTATTTTATGTAAAAGCTTATTGGAAATTAGTCAATTGAGCTATGAACTAGTGTGGTTTATATGCTTTAATACATATTTTATTTCTAGAAAAACTATAAAGTACAAGAAAAATTATCATTAGATTTAAGCCAATAACTTTAGCTAGCCCACCCGTTGAAAAATTCATGGTTCCGCCCTTGCATATACCTTAGAGCAAGTCCACCCCAAAGGGCTAAGGCAAGGGCTAAGGCAAGGCAAGGGCTGCCACTATTCACGTGAATAGTGGCAGCCTTGCCTTTTTTGGTTCCACCCCAAAAGGCTAGGGCAAGGGCAAATACTATTCATTGTACTTTATTTCCTATTTTTTTATACTTTAAACCATTAATTTTGGTTGCCACGTGTCTTGTTTTTAATTAAACTTTGTTTTCATTTGCAAATATTTATAATAAATATTCATATTATTTAATGCTTTCTTTATTGAATAAAAGGGAAACAATACAACAATTCTTCATACATACGACAAATCTTTCAATCCAACCTAATTGTTTTGATAATTTAACCAATCCGTATTGCTGGGTCCGTCGTCGTGGAAAAGTTTTCTTCTCATCACATCCCTTCGTTTCATCTTCCAATAGGACTTTGTTTCAGGAGACATATGGGTGGTATCCATGGCCATGATTTTCATCTCTCTATCCTCCATGTCTTGTTCTTGTGCCTGCTGCCTTTCAATTGCAAATGCTTCAGCTCGTGCCTTGTCTGCTTCTTCTCTTTTCAAGTCTCTCTCAAGTCTCAGTGCACCATTTTTAGCAATTTGCTCCAAAAATTGTGCACATTCATTCTTCGAAGTGCTCCCTTTCTTCGCCTTTGCCGCTTTTCTCCCAATAGGTCTCGGCGCACGTGGGAGTGGTGAGTCTTGATCCATTGGGGAGTCCACTGGCGAATCGGTTGCCGGCGAATCGTGGAGCGGCGTCTCATTCAACACAACCGGCGGAGTAGTGCAAATTATTTTGAATCTCGAACAATTCTTCACAAGTTCCCAACATTGGTGATTTTGGAAACTTTTTTTGCCTTGCCCCGTGGCACCGAACCACATTTGTGCTTGTATGATCTATTAAAAAAAAATGGAAATGCAACCAAAAAATGAGTAAGGGAGAAAATATAAATAATTTGGAAATGCAAGAAAAAATAATAATTATGCAACAAAATATAAATACATTAGAAATGCAAGAAATAAAATGATTATGCAAGAAAACAATAAATACGGAAGAAAATATTAACAATTTAAAATTGCAAAATAAAAAAATGATTATGCAACAAAATATAAATAAATTAATATGTAAGAAAAAAAAGTTACATTAAATTAAATAAAACAATAATTATAAATATTTTACCTCATCCGTAAGATTTTGACCGCTTCGAAGGTTCTCCCTCGCTTTTGTCAAAGCATCCCTCCATTTCCCAAACTCTCTATTCAAAATTTTCCACCTGGAGGATAAGGCCATTTCCGTCCGAGCCGAACCGGATTTTTCAGAAAATTCTTCATGAATTTTTCTCCACATTTGAGAAAACTTCATTTCATTGCCTGATATAGGGCAATGACTAACTTTCACCCAAGACTCACACAACGCAATATCTTCCGCAGTTGTCCAAGCGCCTCCGGCTTCAACAGAAGATGCCATTGATCTTTTGATACAAATGGAAACTAGTAGAAAAATGTGAGTAGAATGGAAAATAAATTGGAAGGAGAAGAGTTTATATGAAGATTGGTGTGGAAAGTGAATGAAATTGATAGGTATTTATAGAGAAAAAATCCAGAATTTTTTGGTATTTTTTTGAATTTTTTTCGCATTTTTTTAACCCAAAAAAATCGAGTCCGTTGGATTTCTGGACAAAAAACGATCGAAGCATCCGGGAAGCGCCACGTGGCGTCTGCCCGTTGGGGGCTGTCAGTCGCTGACGTCAGCGCGGTGAAATCAATTTTTTTTACCGTTGGCGCGTGTATTTCACGCGCCAACGGTAAAAAAAAATTTGATTTGCTTCACTGACGTCAGCGTGACGTCACTGCTGACGTCAGCGCCTTCGGGCTGAAGCCCAGTCAAATTCTGCCCTTGGGCTTGCCCGGGCTGGTGGGACCCAGGGCTTGCCCGGGCTGCTTTTCCTGCGTTGGAGGTCCAATTCGTGCTGGGGGGGCCTGTTGCCCTGGCAAAAAGGGCTGCGGTGGACTTGCTCTTAGCACACCAAACTACAACTTTTTAACTTTTAACTCTCACATGTAAAAAATAAAGTACATACTACAACACACGCAACAAACTCAGAATAAGTTGATCCACGTAATACAACTCAAAAAACTACAACACAAAACAAGAAAATAAAAGCCGATTTGCCACCACGTCGTCATTTAGACAACCAAGCAGCCACCAAACTCAACGAAGACTGAAGTGCTGCATAGGATGGGTGAGGAGCAGAAATGGAGGGGAGGAGTAGAGGTGTCAAACGGGTTTAGGGTTTAAACTTGTGCTTTTAACGTTTTTGTGCCTAGCCGAGCCAGCCCATTTAATTTATAGAAAATTTGTCATAAGTCCAATTATGAGGAGAGACTCTAGGTGCAATCCACGCAGAAATTGTTGTTGATCCAAGTCCTTTGACTTTTGCGCCACATAAGATTACATGCCTATTTCAATTTATTGATATTTACTTTTTTTTATTTTTTATTTTTTGTTCCAGTTATGCACCTAAAACATAAATAAGGTAAATTATGAATTCCTAAAATTGGTAAGTTATTGACAATAGGTAAGGTACCTATGCATCAAAATTTGTAATAAGAGTTCATAAAAACTTCATACCTTAACAATAGGTAAGGTACCTATGCATACACCTCGTATGCAGTATGCAGGTAATTAAACCCATAAATTACCTCTGGTCCAGGTAATTAAATCCATAAATTACCTCTAGTCTATGTAGTTATACCCTCTAGCCCAGCTAATTGAATTCATATAATATCTTGGTATGGATCTTTAAACTCAACTGAGATAAAAATCGATACAAAATTTCTTTGGAAAAAAGGAACAGATAAAATTCCATGGAAGACATGTACGTATGTATATAAATATGAACCTCCAGAAAAAACTGCTTAAGAAAACTCAAGAAAAAAACACTTACATGTAAGGCAGGTACATATATACCTGTATGTATTAACATTATTTACCTTTATGTCAGGTACATAATTTAATGTGGGTGCTTGTCTGATCGATTGGTATAATATGTGAGTCTTTACTTTTTATTGATTAAATTGTATTTTATCTATATATTAGGAATATTATCAAGGAATAAAAATTCAAAATTCAAAATTTGGAATTCAATTTCAAGGAAATAATGAATTAAACTTAGATTTTCAATGTGTTTTCCTTATTTACCTTAAAGGGTAAAATCGACACAACAAAAAAGTAATAAATGTCAAAGGACCTACATCTAAAACCAAAAACATGAGGACTAGACCCAATGACAACTAATCGTTTTAGACCTAGATCTAAGAACCCCTTTAATTTATTAGGCCCTGGCGTGCTGGCCTATTTAGTAAAATCATTTATCTCAGCCCAACCCAAAGCCCATGTCCACATTGAAACGGACTAAGCTGGGCTCATGTCGTGCCGACCTATTTAATAAAATCATTGATCCCAACCCAGCCCAAAGCCCATGTCCACATTGAAACGGACCGAGCTGGGCTCGTGCCTTGCTTGTGCTCGTGCTCGTGCTGTACTCGGGCCCAAGAACCAACCCATTTAATTTGAATTTTTTTTTCACTTGATCTTTTTTTCACTAGATAATTCAAATTATAAACGTTAAAAATATAATTAGAGGCAAGAAATAATGAACTATTTGAAAACATTAATAAATCAAACATCCAAACAATATGAAAGGCGGAGGGCAAAAAGTGTCCAACTCCACAAAATCCACTTCAACTTTTTAGCTTTGAACAACTTATTATTTTATATGTGAAGAAATGTCTTGCTTTGATTATAAGAGAAGCGTAGATGTCATATGTACTTATTAGATATCAAGTCCAATGTTGTTTAATTATTTTGTAGTTGATATGTTTAATTAATTAAGGACCCACGTAATTTCCCTAAAATGAAAGACATGAAATATATGTTTATGAATTTTTTTTTTTTAAACCATATAAACAATGACCATTAGATGTCAAATTATTGCATTTTGACTTTTGAGAAAAAAAAAATTGTTAAGTGGGTTGGGTTTGGATCGTGCTTGAAGCGGACTAGGGCCAAGCCCGGCCCATGTCGGGTCATGGGCCTACCCGGTCCATTAGACCTCATTTTTTGATCCCGGCCCGACCCAACCCAAGTTTTTGTGCCATGCCGAGCATGGCCCACTAATATTTGTACTTGTGCCGCGCCGTGCCTTATTTAAATGGGCTGGGCTTGTGCCGTGCTGGGTTAGCCCGTCCCGTTTGACACCTCTAGGGAGGAGGTCTAGAAGGGTAAGGAGGAGAGAGAGGAGAGGAGGAGAAGGGTGTAGGCGACAGACCCCTAAAGGAGGAGAAACACTTACATGAAACAGGGATAGCAACCAAATCACGGTATGTCATGCATGATAACTTTTTCACATGACATGATATGATTGGCCGAGAATAATAAAATAGTATTATCCCTGTTTCATACCAACTTTTCTGCTAAAGGAGGCAAAGAGAATGAAACTTATATATATATATATATATTTAGGTTTCATATATTATTTATTTACACTTAAATCTTATTTGGTTATAGGGTTTATTAATGGATAATGCTTACCTCCTTGCCTACTAATGTGGCTCAGCCACAATCTGACGTGTATCTCTATTGTTAAGAATAATTAAAGTGAAAAATAAATACACATTTGAGAATAATAAAAAAAAGGACAAATGTTAGTTTGTGGTTGAGCCACATTAGTAGGTAAGGAGGAACTTATGGGCAAGTAAGGAAGCATTATCCCTTATTAATATGTTGGATCCAGAAGTTGATACCAGTCATTTAACATAAAAAATTAAAATCTAACTATCACGAAATTTCTTCCTCAAAATTTCTCCATTTTCAATTATAAGAAGTTTGTGTTTTTCATTAAGAGTGCTACTATTAGATTATTAGGACGTGACTATTAAGGAAGATTGTGTCTTTTATTAAGAGTGCTACTATTTCCACCCCATATTTCCTCACCTACCATATAAATTTGAAACAACACAATTCTATGTTTCCACTCACCTTTATTCATAAAATAGCCTTTAATTATTAATTCAAGCAAATTCTCTTTGCTAATCATTAGTAGTTGAGATATGGAGAGGATCAAGTTTAGTCTAATATTTTTATTTTTTAGGTTTTTTTATTCTTTGCCTTGTAGCTTTTGAAAATATTATGGATAAATGTTTTAAAGAGAAATGTGTACATTTGAAGGGCAATTTTCAATTGTGTTCCATTTGTTCGTAAAAAGAGAAAGGTGAAAGGAATAGAAACAACACCTTGCAAACCAAAAAAACAAAAAACAAAAAGAACTGCTGAACATGGAATAAAATCAAACAATCGACCGACAAATGAAGCACATATATAGAACCACTGGGTAAACATATCCAAATCTTTCAAAATATATTTCTCAACTTTTCCATTGTCAAACTAAACAGCTAGAACTTTTCTTGCAATACAAAACTAAGCAGTTAGAATGAATCTCAAAAGGCTGAAATGAAAAAATAAAAATAAAAATAAAATAGTCTAGTTTAGAAAATCTAGAGCAGTAATAATTAAAACTCAGTTTCCATCATGAACATGTTGATCAACAAGTACATAACATTAAAATTTGGTTCATTGAGGAGGCTATAGCCTACTTTCTGCTTCAGGCTAAACAAATTAAGACTTCAAAAGCCCAAGTTAGCAAAAGAAGCCTACTTTGAGGTGCAGTTTTTTTACTTTGCCCTCCTCCACTCCAAAAACCGAAAAAAGATAAGAAAAAGTAAGAAAGCCTTCTTCGTCAGCCTAAACAAACTAATGTTTCTCTAGTTATGATAATAGAATAGGTGAGTGGTGGATTCCCCCTTCCCCCCATGGCACCCAGGATCGAACCCCAGTGGGGTTTCTTTCCTCCAATGTAACCAAAAAAAAAAAAGATAATAGAATAGGTGAGTTACGTGAGTTGAGGTTTTTTTCTTAAGTCTTTAAAGAGACAAATGGGTAAATTTGTCTTTAAAATTTTGAAGATTATGTGAGCGAGGAAATAAGTGGAAATAATAGGATTCTTTATTAAAGAGACAACAGTTGCATATCTTCAAATTAAAAAGCAAAAGTCACAACATTTTATGTTTTTATTTGAACCATCACAACCTGATTCATGCGTAGCGGCTGCCCACCAGATCATATTATTAACTAAAATTTAGCCAAAAAAAGACGGGTTTGTTGGAGATACTCTTATAAAGCTTATTACGTAGCAAGAGAGACAAAGTTTGATTCAAAAGTATAGTTAAATGGGTACTGAATTCATTGTGGTTGAGAGAGAGCTTAGCCATAGAGGTCCACTACAATAAATAGGATACTATTTCTCTCATTTTTGCAAATCACGTTTGACATATGTGAAAAAATAATTTATTAAAAATACAAAAATAAAAACTTCTACACACATATCATACTGTCATTGGCGAAGTTTCTACTTACCGAAGAAGGCGGGAAGTATTTTCTCAAGAAATATGAGCAATTGTCACCATTAAGATCCTAAGTATGAAGCCCTTAGGAACTATTTGCAGTAACTAAAAACATGTTAATTGGGGTGGCAAGATAGAAGTACACTTTTGTCATAAAGGAATGCTTAGCATTTTTGTTTATAATATAGTAGAGCGAGCATGCATTAGCATATTCGGCTAACATTCATTTGAAGATCAGCTTTGTGTCTTCTTCAATCACTGTTCGACGCAAGAATTAAACAAATTAATTCAGGATGAAATCAAACGACAACAAACACTCCCTGACATAAACTCATCAAGAGCTTAAGCTTACAGAGAGAGACAATACTACTTAATTAATTACTTAAGATGAATGGTTGTTTTGGAAGTGCATGTAGCTTCTTCATGCATGCACGTCTTCAAGGAAATCCACCTCCAAGCCCGCCACCAGCACCTGCTCCGCCACCGAAACCTCCCCCTGCTCCACCCCCAAGTCCTCCGCCACCACCACCTCCAAACCCTCCTCCACCACCGCCTCCAACTCCACCACCAGCACCACCGCCAGCCCCACACCCTCCACCAGCTCCCCCGCCAAAACCTGCTCCGCCACCTACTCCTCCACCGCCACCACCACCAAAGCCTCCACCGCCGCCTCCTCCAAGTCCGCCACCAGCTCCAGCTCCAGCACCACCACCAAAACCAGCCCCTCCTCCAGCACCAGCACCACCGCCTAACCCTCCTCCTCCTCCAAGACCACCACCACCTCCACCCCCTAGCCCACCACCGCCGCGGTGAAAAAAGTTTTTCTGATCCTCAAAGGAAACCTTCTCACTGCCAAGCTTCCTTGCACCAGTGGTGAAAACGAAAGCACCAAAGAGCACAAGAAGAAGAAGCCTAGAAGAAGAAGTCATCTCTTATGGTTGGATAGAGATGGAAGTAGTTAATTATAGATGAAAGCTCGGTTTGTGAAGCGGGGGATAGAGAGAGGGGAGTATATATAGACATGGACGTGAAGGGCTAAGATGGGGAGATGGTAGAATTGGCCTTAAATTTTGCTCATCTTCTCATCTGCAAAACCGTGTTGGGAGAGTTAATGCGAACAGCAACTGCCTTTGAAAAAAGAAGCTCTCTGCCTCAACTATATTCAACATGCATGCCCCACCCCTGACCAATCCTAGTGGATATCCTCACTTTTGCTCTTCTTATTATTACTTCCATTCCATTCCATTAATTTCCAGCTTCATTTTCAGTGGAACTTCTTTGCAATTTTCATGAGCTTTCAGCTGCCACCTTTTGGATCTCTCTCTCTCTCTCTCTCTCTCTCTCATGGGTTTCTGATGATGACCACATGTTTCTCATTTCAGTACCAAATTTGGTGCACCATAATATCATTCCCGAAATTATTTGACTTAGATATACCAAGAACATTTATTGGGTGAATTTCAACAATTTTTTTTTTCTCATGGACTAATGTATATATATTATCAAAGTTGAAAAATATTTTAGAACTTTACCAAAAAAATTATATGTTATTACACTAGAACACTTTCACCTCCACCCATGTCGGTAGAGGTTCGAAACCCCTAGATATCCAATGAATAATTGTGTAAACCCCTTCCACCAATCGCTTGTAAAAAAAAAAACACTTTTTCAATATTTATTTTGGCCAATTCTTCTTGTCACATTCAATTTGTCATTCTCCACTCTGAATAATATTTTATCATTTTAAAGCAGGCACAAAATAAATGCCTGACAAGTTAGAAGTGTGATAGCATTGCCTTTCATTTTCACACCTTCAATTTCAACGCCCCCCAGATCAGAAAGATCCATGATGATTTGAAATTATAAAACATTACAGAAACTGTCAGAAAATGAATTAATATTCTTATTTACTTGAGCAAATTTGTGTGGAACATAAGAAATAGGTGTCTCATAAGCCATATCATGAATCACCTCAAGAATCACGTAAATATATATATAAGATTAAAATTGTATTTTTCTGTGAAATAAACATCAACAACAAAATATTTTATTGGGTTTCAGAATTTATTTGTTTTAATTGGGCTTGTCCAATATAGATCCCTACATTTTCTATTTCCTAGACATATACCCATCACTCTATAAATCTATGTGTAAAACCCAATTTCAAATTTAAATGACTAGTAGGATATAAGAGGTCGTAGTATTCCTATGTTTTTACATCGTTGCCACCAAACTTCATATTTTATTTAGAGTGATGCTAAATGAACCCTAAAATTAACTGAGTACACCCTATGATCTAAGTACACCCTAATATTTAAATCAAAATGTAAAATTAACTAAATACACCCTATTTAACTACACAAAATACCCTTGATACACCCTAATAAACTATATCACATCTCATTTGCCACGTCATATTTTAATTTCTTCTAAAGTTTTTGTTCTTCACATTAAAAGGAGTCAATTTTAACAAATCTGGTTTTTTTGTTCTGCAAATTCCTCTTCTTCTTTTTTTTGTTCTCATCTCAATGGGGTTTTGATTTAGTCTTCAAATAACGAATTTGTTCAAACTGGTTCGACAGCAAGCCATATGGGTCTAATAGCTACTTCAAACTTGATTCAAATGAAAACTAATTCCCAAATGCCTTCTTATATTTGAACTTTAGATCCAACTAATATCTTCAATGATTGTTATGAATAGTTAGATGGTCTTCCACTTTCAGATTTGGTCTCTTAATAATTTCCTTAACTTTCATCTCTAATGGAGGAGTTGTTGGGCAGCAATGGAGGCCTGTTGGTCGGTAATGGAAGGGGCAAAGGAACGAACATTCAACGATACCTCTTTGCACCACCGCCAATGCTCGCTGTCAACATCAAGTAGTACGAATACGTTTGATTAGTGTTGGATATGGGTGAGTAGGGTGTACTTATTAAAATTATATTTGTTTCACAATTCAATATATCCTTTTTGGTCATTTTATATTAGGGTAAATTAGTCATTCAATAAATAGTTTGGTAGTAGAGTGTACTCAGTTAATTTTAGGGTTTATTTAGCAGCACTCTTTATTTATAACTAGCCTCTCCGCACGTGCGCTTCCGCGCCTGCGAGAGGCATTTTTTTTAAAAATTTAAATTTATTTTAGAATTAAAAAGGATAATGGGTAGTTGTGTTCCATAAAAAAAAGGATCCATTATCTGAATTTTCTTTTAATTTTAAAAAATTTTAATATGAAAAAGTGTGAATTTACCATATTATCCTCATTTAATTAATAATTTCAATTCTTAATGTTTGCATTAACCAAGGGTATTTTATGGTATTTTGAATGTTTCACCATTCTCTGCCTTTTGCTTTATATATATAGATTTATTTCAAGCATTTTATTAACTGTCATAATTGTAATTAACACTCCCTATTAATACCATATCAATCACCCCATTTCTTTTGGTTGACATTCCCTCTCACATACCGCCCCCTAAAATTGCAAACCAAAATAAATCTGTAAATTACATATCCAATAATGTACCTATGAAAAATATAAATATAAATATATTATTTAAATAAAATATAGGTATATTATTTACCAAAATTTAAAAAAAAAAACTAAGTGAGTTACTTTGTAATTGAAATTTCCGTACATTTTTCATAAATTAAAAATAGGTACACAATAATTTATAGAAAATATAGGTACATTATTTACCCATAGGGAAATTATTTTACAATATACCTATAAATGTGTATGGGTACATTATTTGGAGAGAGAAAATAAGTTCATTTAAAAAAAATGTTTTACATAAAACAAATAATAGGTACTTTATTCAGAGAAAAAAATGTACATTATTTTGAGAAAAAATAAGTTCATTAAAAAAAAAAATTCATAAAACAAACAATAAATAGATTATCAAAATATTTGTTTTAACATAATTAGAATGTACACTATTATTCATTAAACTATAATAAAATAGATTACTAGTAGTATAATTCATAAAAGGAAAACAACAAAAAAAAAGTTAAATAAACCAAAACGTTTTTTTTGGGGTCATAAAACAAACAAAAACGTTACTAATACTTTAATGTTGAATTTAATATTTAATTTCAAATAAGTTTCTAAATTAATTCCTACATCCATTACAACCATTTGAAAATCTTTCCAAATTCAACGTGTGCCATTAGTTACACCTCACATAACACATTAACTTGTAAATATGGGTAGTTTTGGAATCCGAAAAATAGAATAAATCAGATTTAAAGCTGGATTAGGTAACTTGCTTACTTGGATCATAGTCATCGGGTTTTATTTTAAAAAATTGAGTATTTTAAATAGAAAAATAAAGGAAAGGGTTGTAGGTGATTACAAATGAATTTTATGGATCTAAGCTCAATTTACTATTAATTATATTCATCACGACCATAGCCTTAGAGATGGCTGAAAAGTTAGGTCATGACATGATGATGAGGAGAAATTTGTGTATGTTTCGGGTACACTTATTAGTGTACCAAAACGTACAAAAATTACTCCATGATGAATTCATTGAATAGGGAATATGGATTATGGCTGTAATTGGAGGATTGAATATGGGTATGAAGGGTATCTTGCAGATCTATGGATTAACTAAAGATCACGGTACACTTTAAACGAACAATGAAAATTATAATAAATTTAGGCGGCCGTACGTACAAGGAGAATATGCAGCTAATATTTACCTCACCTTTGGGTCCATGTTCAGAATCCGAACGGAGGGGATAGTTTGCTAGCAAGCTATACTCATCCCACGAAATGAAATATATATTTTTAATTTGCATTATTGTCTGTAAAATTAAAGGTAGGGATAAATAATTAGAAAAAGGCTGCTAATAATTGAATAGATTGGTGGTAATCATCTCAATCCTATTATTAGCATATATAGGCTTATGCTAGGTCCTAAAAACTTGGTTTTCAAGTTCAAATAATGCTTGGCAAACCTAAGTTAATTTAGAGTTTTTTTTTTTTAGTACAAGCGATAATTTAAATTACAGAGTAAAGGATTTCTCACACACACACCACTAAGATGCCATGAGGGTTCAAACCTGAGACCTCTAATATGCAAGTCAATGTCCTTTTCCACTGGGCTAGACCCCGTTAGCACTAATTTAGAGTTGTTTTGAAGACAATCAAACTATAAAAGTTAGAAAGCCACGGATATGCAAGTTGTGAAGCAAGGTTTCCATATAAATGAAAAAGGGACAAAAGTAAAAGAGAACGCTATGTTGTTAGCTTGATTTATTGTGGAGTTTCAACAATGAATAGTTTTAAAGTTGATAATTGAGAAACTTAATTGGTTCTGGGGACTGGATTAGCTCATTTGGTTGGTAACATAAATACAGATCAAGATTTCACCAACAGGGATGAACCTACTGACAAAAACCCACACAAAAATTATTACCAGTTGTAGAATTAAACCAAACCACTATTTGTAGTGTGGTGAGTGAATTTGAACTATTTGTAGTGGTTACTCTTTGTTTTTAGTCTTTTCTATGTTTTGTCAAAGATAGTGGCGAAATATATGGAAGAAATTTTCATGGATATGACACTTCAAATGGAAACTGAAAATTAAAAATGAAATGATTACGAAGCGGACCGTAAATATCTTCAAACCACCTTCATACATCAAACAAAGAGGTATTTACAAAGATTTTTCTTACCATCTTGTTAATTTTACAAAGAGGTATGTAATAATCTTTTAACAAAAACTAAAGAATAGGTGGCCGTAGAATTAATGAATAGAAAGAGGTACAATTTTGCTGGGCACAATCTGTTGGGCAGAAGGTTGGGCTATGTACATTTAACCAGGCATTCCATTGGGCTAAATAGAAGATTTACAAATCTACAGCCCAAGAGCTTAAGCTGCTGCATCCACAGATTCTCCTGTAAAGCAGGTGCAGATAATTAATCAAAAACATTATCCAAATTCCCTCCTCCCATTAGGCAAAAGAAGTAAGAACAACAAAAAAGTTGCGAAGATAAACCAGCGTTTCTGCAAAGCACTTGGGATTTCAGAATGAGGTGCATCCAATTTCACCCTGCTGCATTGCTTTCCATGCAAACACAGCTCAACCACAGACAGCAGCTGCTGGGGAGTAGTTGTAAAGTGCTTTTGATTTCCACCATTGAAGCTACTAATTATAAACTTGCTGCACAGAGGCAGCAGCACTTTCTTTCTCTAAGGACCAAGGCCATGCACAATGATATTGCTCTTGATGTCCCTTCCCATGCCAAGTCTGGAGACATTTCAGTCCTCCTTCAAACTGGGTATTTCTTTTTTCTAATTACCTAAATTTTCTTCTTTCGTTTTTTTTTTTTTTTTTTGAATTATTTGTTTGTTTTATGTTGCAGTGGGGTACTTTTTCTTGCTTACTTGTTCTCAAATTTCGTTGTGCCAATTCTCATTACGAAATATTTCGGATTCGATAAGGTGGGTGAAGAAGAAGAAGATGAAGACGACCTATTTAAGATGTGAAAAGGGGTTTCAAGAGCACTGAGTCTGGAAACAAGATGAACATGTTAGCAGAGTATGTCAAGAGGTTCTTACTTTTAAAGTTAGATTTGAGGTGGAATGGAAAGTGTGACAGTTTACAAATGTGATTCTTGATGAGTTAATTTAAAACGGTAAATGGGATCCCTTCTTCTGTTGTATTTGGGTCCAATTTTGACACCCAAGATTTGTAAGTTTAATCTTAATACTAATCTTGGTCAAAGACCTGGTGATTTTAAAGCATAGAACGTGATGTTTGGACGTGTTGACCAGAAGTCAATATATTTTTTTTTTTCTTTCATTCCAGGTGTAATTAGACAATAAACCCATCCTTTATAATTCAAGGCAATAAGTTCAATTAAATCGTGGCTAATGGTAACCCCCCATTAGCTCGTTTTGCTCAAAACAATTTACAATTACCAGCAAAATCAAGCCTGTTTTTAACCAAAAAATAAGGGCAAGAAAGAAAAAAAAGAAAAAAAGAAGTTACGCCTAAACAACTGTCCAATCATTTTCGTCTGTAATCGAAGGTTTTTCAACAGGGTAAGTATTTTCAGGCTTCAGAGGTGTTTCAACGGGGGGGCCACTTTCAGGCTTTGGAGGCTTCTTTGAAAATAGCGAAGACTTGTTGTCGAAGAAACTCGAAAATGGTTGGCTACTAGGGCTCGTTGAGTTCTTCTGATCCTTTGAAGCTGATTTTTTTAACTGCCTATCTTTGCCACCGAAATTGAGGATGAGCCTCTTAAAACGCCGTTTTGGTTCACCGGAAGGGGTCGTTGATTCTTCCGGTTGCTTCATCATTTTTAGGACTTCCTCTGGATTCTGTAACATAGTCTCCACTGTTTCATATACCTGTACCAAAGAATTGACAAAGATTTTCAGCAGATTATCAGTTTGGTAGTTTATATCCGCAATTTATGTACAGTATCCACGTCCCAGCCGTGGACCCAAATCTGACCCTTCTAGCTGCTTGTAAAACAAGAAGTTTGTCAAAGTGTACTTTAAATGGCCTGCAAAGGCGTTATCATCAAAGTCCAATTGACTTACATTATAACTATCAACCTTGGTCATATTATAACCTCAAGTTTAATCATGGATCCATCCTACCTGGCAAAGCTCATCAACCTTCTCAGTCCGGGTGCTGCTTTGACAAGTGGAAACCACATATTCCTTGCATTCATAGAACAGCTTCGAAAAATCACTACTACTGGACAGTTTAGCCTCAGCAATTACAAAGCCTAAACCAAGCTGAATATTGCAGAACCGGCATCATTAGCACAAGATCAGAGCACGGGCAATGTACATGCTAAACAAATATTAAAAATAAGCAAGCACAACAACATAGAAAATTAACTTACCAAAGAAACAAACAGCTGCTCAAAAAGCTCGGAAGGTGATATGTCCTCAAAACCATCCAGGATACCTTCTCTACAGGATCAATGCACAATGCTACTCTTGTCAGACACAAATTTTTACTAAAACCAAAAACGGATATAAGAAATTAGCATAAATTTTTGCAACTTACACTGCTAAATCCTCATCAAAGAGGGGTACTTGTTTAACTGCCGGAACTGGCTTGGATGTATCCCAAAACTCACGCCACAAATTGCCTAACATCAAAGCATAACCATAGGAAACTACATATGAGACTTAAATACACGTCAGCATTTGCAACTTCTGGATGCCTGTACGCATCATGAAGTTTTTTTTAATAAATAAATAAAATAGCCGGCTTCCCTTAGCTAAGCACCATATTACAAGACAAATGCTATACAATATTGCTATACTTAAGACAACAACTATTTTATCCCAACGGTTGGCCTTAGAAAGATCAGAGAAAGAAAAACTAATTGTTACTTCCCTTTTTGTTATTTAAATAGAAAGAAAGAAAACCCATTAGAACTTTAGACCAGAATGATCTTAAATATCAGAAGAGGTGGGCTTATTACAGTCAGATTACCTGCCTGTTCATAGTTCCTTACATGTTCACTAGATTAGGTTTTCAAACAGATGCATGCATAAAAACGTCTAATACAATTGCCAGAGCACCTCAAGAACAAAGCACACTAATAGCACAGCATACATCCTAAAGCTCATTGTCGAATAATACATCTAATTTCTACTATAGCATTATATAATGCATCTATTATCTTATAAAGCAAACCAATTTTCAGTCTGTATTTGACATTCTCCTATAACTGTTAACCTTGGATAGACAAACTGCTATTCATCACAATTTCAAAAGAAATTGAAAGACAGGATGTCGTGGCACCTTCTTTTTGCATTCGACTGCTTAGATATCCTCTTGTGGACAATGCATCACTACCATCAAAAGATTCTCTATCCTCTGGTTCAGTCTCCGACCAGTCAGGAGGGGAGTGCCATCTCACAAAATCTTCCAAAATACAACCAGGATTTGCAGCCTGCATATCATAATTAGCAGAACTTAGTCAACTTGAACAGTTGACAAATAGAATTCAGCTGTAAGATAAACTTTCATTAGTGGAAACCTTGAAAGCCTGCATGTCAGATAGGAGTTGAGAACATCCAGCACCAACGCTGCCCACAAAAGATATGGCAATTTGTCAGGGAATGCATAGACAAATAAGAATAAAAAGTATGGAGGTTTGAGTGCGTATGTATATGTATATAATCAGAGAACTTGGAAAATATATAAAAAATGCGAAAAGGACTAAGAATTAAGTCAAATACAAGCCTTCCTGTTCGAAGCACAAACTCCTCTGTTTCTTTGATAAGATCTTCAGTTAGCAAAGGTCCTTCCTACATGTAATAATGCACATATATGATATATCTCATTTATGGGAGCAAGGTAAAATAGTTATCCTTTAAGGACAAGCTACTAACATACCTGGGTCACAGGGCAGTACACAGGTTCACCAGTTTCCAACATTGCCACATTACCAAATGGTCGATCAGCACCTAGTCGGAGGACAAGTTCCCCAGTGCTTAGTCTAGCATACAACATAGGGCCTGCAGGAATGTCGTTGGACACGGCAGATTCTTCTGCCTTTGGACTGGCTTCCGTTATTACAAAGTCTAATGTTTCAGTGGCAATAGCACGCTGCCTTTTCCTGGAAATACAACAGTTGATAACTTGCAACCGCTGATACAAAAGACAGGAATTCAGATCTGGAATCTCATCTATGGGGATGCTAGGTACATGTTCTTCTTCAGACCAAAGTCTTCTCAGCTGCATGTGAAGTACATTCAAAACATACTTTGTCAACATAATTAATGATAACCAGTGTAGTATGCATTCAATTCAAGTGGAGCAAAGTAATAAACATAAAAGAACTTTAAAATTTTAAGAGGATGAGATATTTTCTGAGTACAACTGTATTTGGAAGGATAATATGACATTAAAGTTGTCTATACCTGAAACTAAACCAAAAATTTACTTTTCCAGTTTAAGATAATAAGTTTCAACTCGAGATCACAAAAATATTCAAACCTAGACACAAACACATATTCAAAGAAGAGTATACTTCCAGAAAATATATAGCGTGCTACGGTTGTAAAACAAGCAGCCAGAAGTGTCAGAACATTTTCTCTTTTTTCTTTTCATTGCAAGCCATTGCCAAAAGCTCAAGTAACTCATATTTTATACAGAACTTACCTCTTCAACAACTCTGCACCAAAACAGTGTCATTTTCTTGAGGGTTCTGAAGCTCCCAACAACTTCAGCTAGCTTAACAACCAGGCTTTCAGGAGGAGCACCGTGAATATCTCTTGGCAAAGATGCCGTGGTAATTGCCTCTGAACCAGAATCGATCTTCCGTCTTAGAAAATTTCCCTCTGCGAATATCTTGCAAATATTACAATGGAAGTGAAAGATCATAACAGGATAGTGAATAAAAATTTAGGAATAAGAAAACCAACAGGGAGTAAGTGTCATGAGGTCACCTAACGTATACCTGCATCAAACAGCGAGCGGATCAATGCTAGAACCTTCTCATTATTACCAAAATCCGATGGCCTTTCATCCTTTTCACGAAGCACTAAGGACCTCACTGCATAGAGGCTAAGGCTTGCTCTCTCCCTGACAGGCGAGGAACTTCCTGATGCTGCCAAAAAATCTTTCAATGATTTTAACTTCTTTCCAGCCCTGGATAAAGGTTCCAAAATATTTAATGAAGTTAGGAAATCATGTACAAACTGAAAACTCATATTGATATGTAAACCGTTTTGAAAAACTTAGAACACATCTAGTGCCACATTGATTGCATTACACTGCAATAGGCTTCCAAATAGAAAAAAAATTCACTTCCAAAGATAACAATCCAAAACTATTGATATTCGTTTATCATATATACATATTCGAAATGTTTAAAGACTGCAATTGACCAATTGGACTCCAAAAGTTGTAAAGATTTCATAAGTTCATTGCAAAAGAAACAGAGAAAGAAGACCTATTAGGCAATGAATTTCCAGAATGCAAAAACTTACTCAACAGCTGTAGCCAATTGCCTCATAACAGACAATGGAGGAATCACAACGTTGTCTGCAACAAAGCTTTCGACTGAGGGAATCATCTCTGCCCCCTTGCAAATATCAAATCCCAATTTATCATCAAAGAGAAACAATTAATTGAAGCAAAATAACAGATAAGTCAGTAAAATTAGTTATCAATCACAAACTTCCAGGACGTTAGGCAGGGCATAAATTGGATAATCCTCATGTTTGCTTTTCTGATTAATCTAAAAGCAGATCACAAGTCAAAGTGTTTGGCCATCATTACCCGTTACATTTCTCTCGTTCACAATCACAACTATATCTTCTAACTGAAAAGGAAAAGGCACAAAGAACGTGAATCACCATTTTTTTTACTTAGTATGTGACTAAATTTATTAAGACAGACCGTAATAAACCCCTGCTTTAAACTTCAGTTGTCTTCCTAAGACAAGAACAAGGCCAGCCTGCGGACCCCAGGGAAAGGTTGAAACATTTACCTTTTCAATTCATGAATATGATGTAATTCATTGACCAAAAAAGAATATGATGTAATTATGTATTGAAGATCTAAACATAAAATGGAAAGCTTGGAAAACAAACCATTATAATGTGCATACACAGAAGTAAAAGATATAAAAAAGCAAACTTACCTTTGCTTCAATATCATTTTTCATGTTCAGCAGGTACAAATTCTCATCATAGAACGGAACCGCCATGGTTGAATATTCGGCCTTCTCGTCTTCAACTCCTTTTTTTCCTTTTCCAATGTTCCTAAGTCTATCCTGCCATTCTTGCTTTGTCCCTATGTTTGGAGGTCTCCACCTCAAATGCTTTGATTCATTGGAACCCTGTATTATTTGATTTCCGAGAAATTGAAATGAAACAACTCAGCAAATTGTGAATAACCAGAATCTGAAATTGCAAGCATTCTGTTACCCAACGTCTACGATCTGTTGGGTAAAAGACCAAAAGTAAAACCCAAAACGTTTAGTCAACTAAGCCTGACTTAACAATCTAGATTAATTGAAGTCATGCTAATTTCATCTTAAAACTACTAGGATTCATTTTTTCCCTGCTTGGGAACCAAATAAAATGATCACTTCCTAAACCAAGCAACAAAAATCAAAATCGTGCAAAACTTAAACCGATTGATCCTGCATTTCCACCCAGAAGAAAAGAAACATACCATTCAATCAAACCCCATTGAATTAAAAAATAATAATAATAAAAAGAAGACAATATACAAAGCTTACTACCTTTGACTCGCCCTCGTTACTTGGCGGTTCATCATCTGCTTGATTAATCAAATTCTTGGGCGATTGCTTATCAGAATCTTCACCGATTTAACATCAAGTTGTCAAAAAATCAACAAGATTTATAATCATGAACATGAAATTAAAATCCCGGAAAATAAAAATAGCATTAGGAAAAGTCAAATTGAAGTCTGGGGCAGTAAAAAAAAGTAAACCGAAAATCAGGATTTAGTGAATGAGATTAAAAATTGAAGATATTAAAAAGCGAATAAATTTCTGCACCTCGATCGGGCTTTAAGTCAGAGAAAACTCGCTCCGCTTTAGCCGCCGCAGAATGGAAGGCGGTCCTCGCTTTGGATACAAAGGAGGGCGACTCCATATCCTGCGCCGGGGGTGCGCACGTTAAGCTCTCAGTGAGATGACTGCGCCATAGCCCAAAATGGAGTCCATGATTGCAGTTGTAGAGAGAGAGAGAGAGAGAGATTTGTTAGGGGGAGCACTTAGGCTGGGGACATGGCATTCAGGCTAGTCTCTATACAGAGACACTACTCGGACAGCTTTTAACTTTATTTATTTTTTTGGTAATTTACTTATAATTTTTCTATTTAAGGATATATTACCCAAAAGAGAAAAATAATGGATATTGGTATTACCGTCCGTTTTCTATGGGGTCAGTATTTTTTGTAGAGTACGTTAGCCAAAAAAAAAACATAATAATATTAATAACTACTCATTGCTCTAACTAATTTTTTCTTGCGTACAAAATTTTTTTCTCCCACTCAAAGATTATTAATTTTTCTCTATACAAGCTCTATAAGTGGAATATAAGACCTCGAGATCACCAACTAGCTTTTTATTTAGTGATATTTTTCTCATTAACGTTTAGGATAGGTCTTGAATTTAAATTTCATGTTCATGTTGATAACATGAAACCACAGGTGCGAAGAGTGAGTGATGTGCACCACTTTAGTTACAAACGCCCTTATCTAAAAATGAGATTGCTAATGGAGTCTAGTCCTGTGGAAAAAGATATTTACTTACAAACTTGTAGTCTCAAGTTCGAACCTTCATGACACATTAGCAAGAGCGGCCATGTGAGTGTACAAGTGGTGCCACCGCACAGGACCCCTAATTTTTAAGGGCCTCTGAATTTTTTTTGTGTGTATAATATATATATATATATATATATATATATATTAAATGTTGTATATTTAATGAACACGCAAATTGTTCACACAAAGACGTTTCTATTTTTGTTGGTTTGCGGGGCCTCAACTTCTGCTTAGGGTGTGGCTTCAAAATTTGCTTGTGTTACATCATAGTTTTAGTTTTATATTGGTTTTTTTTTATAACCAAAAACAATTATTAATAATAATAATAAAGCCAAACACGTTATTTTCTGTAAGTAATCATCATCACCAATATCTCTCTTTGGCTCTCTTTTTCAATCCTTTGACATTTTTTTAAAAAATTTCAAGCATTTCAACAGTAAATATTGACAAAAAAAATTAATAAATATCATTCAAAATCAAATAGTCAAATTTAAATATCAATTCAAATTCAAGTATGTATCTAAATTTCAATCTATATCAACTAAATGACCTACTTCATTATCATGTTGGTTAGTTATATAATGAAAGATGATTTTATTTGTGATTTGCATGCTAATTGATGATGATTTTTACTTTTATAAAAATTTTAAAACAAATTGTTGTATGGCATTACGTAATGGTGTAAGTTTGTGTAAGTTTATGTGAGACTCGGCTTTATATTTCGCACAGGTCCCTCAAAATCTCAAGACCGACTCTGCACATTAGTAATATGTGTGAGAAATCCCCTCTCTTTTATAATGTAAACTATCACTTTAAAAAAATGAGATACAAAATAGCTTCTACATAATATCAAATATAATTTCTACGTGGGAAGAAATAGAAGATGCATGTATTTCAAATAGTTAGTCAACCCTAGTAATTGCACTTTTCACAGTATTAAAGTGCATTAGTAATTTCAAATACATGGTATTTTATGTTTATAAAAAAAAAAATGACACAATGAAAAAAACCAAATACATTGTATTATTTTATGATTCTTTTTACCAATATAAACTTATTATGAAAATTTATATTCATTCTTTAAAAAAAATTAGTCACGACGAGCTTATATTGTGTATTCTCTTAAAGCATGATAATTTTTTTCTGTTAAGAGAACAATGAACAATGAGCCCGTCGTTCAAGTGGTTAAGAGAATAATTGGTTTGTAACTCAAATGGTTAAGAGAACAAGGTATTTGTTGGGGCTAAATCCTTGCCTAGTCAATTTATTGGACTATATACCACCTGATGGACTGCACAACCCATGTGAAAGAAAACAAAAGTGGGCTGACGTGGCACATTAAAGGGCGGACATGTGTCCCGCCCCGGAAAATCAGCAACAATTTCAAAAAATTTGGAGGGGGAACGCATGTCGCGACGTGATTCAACCCGCCCATTAATCTAAAAATTTGGAGGTGGAAACTGAGGTTCACAAGTGCAAATTTTTTTTTACCACGCCAAGGCTGACATAAGCCAAAACTCGGGTTGTAGCTCGGGCTCGCCCAGTCTCATGGCCCCGACCGCCTACCCGGGCAAAACTGGGCCGTTGGAATCGTTTTCCGGGCTCCCCCCCAACCCAACCTGCACCGCTGGAACGGCTCTTATTAAAGATCAATGTTTTTTTTTTTGTTGTTGAGATCCATGTAAAAGAATAAATGAGAAAATAAGAACCATCTAGGAAATTTCCCAAAAACCAGTGTTTGGAAGCCCAATTGTAAAAGTCCTATTCGCTTTCAAATCCAGACCCAAAATAACAGCCCAGTAAGCATAAGTAACTTGAAGAGAAACACGCGCGCACAGAGCACGTGTGACACACGTCTCCAACCCTCTCCTCCTAAACTTCTCAGATCACAATATCTCACACCAATCAGATCAGAAACCCAGAAGAAGAACCAGAAGCAGAAGAAGGGTTTTCGAAGATGTCAGGTGCAGTAGTGGTGGGTTACTAGAGCTCATGGGCGCGCGCCCTAGTCCAGATCTCTCAGTACACATTCTCAGCAAAATTGGAATAAAAAAGAACGTTTGTCAGATGCTGCTTCAGGTGAACCTGCACAATTAATCTAAAAGAATGACAAAGCTGCAGCATAAATGATTGTTACTCTTCTAACCACATTTAAAAATCAGTTGCCACGAGCTTTAATATATAAAAATTGCCCATTACTTGAGTAAGCATGAAACCATGATACTTAGCAAAACAATACAGGGCGATAACATACAGCAGAAAGTAGTTGCCGCGTCTTCACATTCCAAAGCCGTAGATAGCTATCCAATCCTAGGATAGGAGGAAAGGAGAACTTAATATCAGTATGAAGATAATTTTAGTTTCCAAAGAGAACTCATAAACTTCACCGATAAAGTTTAAAAACTAGAAACAAATGTTCAAGATCCTGAGAATGACTTGGAAAATGTAATAATAAGCATGCCCGATATTCAAAACTGCAACCATGCACTCACCACATGATGCTATCACTGGAAACTCAGGGTGCCTTGCTATGGATCTTATACTACCTGAACACTTGCCCAAAAAGCAACCTAACAATTTACCTGTAAAAAACAGAGAATTAAAATAAATAAAGCAACTTAAATATAGTCCAAATGAGAGAATACAGGACGAAAGAAACAACATCAAGGCATCTTCTATACTATCATTTTCTGTTGGGACAACACACCACCACTTTATTCCTATCAAAGCAAATAAGTAAGACATGTTATAATTCACAAATCAAGTATGATACCAACTAGCTCCTAGTCTAGCGGTACTCCTCTTTCCAAAGTTGGAAGAGGTCCCAAGCTCAAATCCCCCCTCCCCAATTGGTCAAAATTTATTAAAAACTGAATTATGAACAATGCTCTCGAATATGAATAGGACTTGAAAAGGGACCGCCATAGTGTACATTCCTAACCCCCAGCAGTTCATATACACCAGTCATACAAGAATGAAGCTCAACATATGGTTTTTTCTTCCATAAGTAAGCTTCACAAATAGCTTGAGTTACTTTTAAATTTCTGATCGTGTCCAAATCCATACCCAGAACTAACTGTTTACCAACTGTATTCAGACTATTCTTAATTTTGATGCAAGTACAAAATTCCTACAATTTATACTCATGATCATGATGGAAGTTAACATACAAATTTGCCAAGAGTTGATATACAAGTATAATTGAGCCTCATGTCAGTAGAAATCGGGCAGAACCAAGGGGCAGCCTATGGATAGTAATCTCAAATTCAAGCAAGAATGTGAAAGCCCTAAGCTCAGTCCGTATAAAAGGCATTGCCCCCATTGACCCCACCACTTATGTACTAAAAAACAGTTGAGCAAAACACGAATTGAAAACAAAAACATCCTTATGTGCCCACTAAAAATCAATGCACCTGTGCGTATGTCAAAAGAAGCGAGGTCACCAGATCCATTCCCTACGTAGATGGTATAGCCATCTAGATCTTCAGCAACAGATTTAATAGCAGTCTCCCGAAAATCAAATGATATGACAGGTCTTTGCTGAGCAGAAATGTCATAAAGACGAACCTATTGAATAAAACAAGTCATAAGGTGTCAAGAAAATCATTTTTGGGTAAGCTACTAGGAGTAGACATTCAAAAAACTGAACTTCTAAACGAAGAATAAACATGATAGGACTCCAAGTACACATAGTCATCCAGTTTTTAATAAAACCTATACTATATTCCTAATTTGCACAGGGGTTTATAATTTCATATGGCAAATATTATGTTATAATATAGCCACTAAAATGCAGAATAACTGCCTACAGTTGGAAATAGGAAGCAATCGTCCAAAGTACATAAAGAAAGGGAGTACTTTCCACAAGTCGTTTATTCCCAACTGAAAATAATAAGAAAAAAGCATCCTACTGTAAGCAATTATTACCTCATGGCTGTTGGTGCCAGCCACAAATTTACGATGATCATCTTTACTCAAAAATGTGGCAGATGTGAACCAAGTTGGGGTAAAGATACCAAGGCTGTTTTTAGGAGGCTGCTCAGGGTCAAAAAGGTCAGAATAAATGTAGGTCATACATTTGCAAACGAAAAATTTATGTGCCAGTTTGTTCAAGATGTAATGGGGGAAGATAGAAATGCTCACAGGTTTTGCTGTCCAAATTTTGGCACAGCCGTCAAGATCCCAGACATTCATCTCAACACGCTTCCTGAATTTGAAAATAATAAGGACATCACATATCATGCCAATATGCTACTGATGATACTCTTTGTTTAATTAAAATTACATAGATCTTGAACCTCCTATAGTAAGTTACTCAAAATGAGAACTCACCCTCCCAATAAAAAATAGTTTTCACTTCCATCCACTTTAGAACATAAGATACTGCCGCCATCACCTATACTCCATGTTCTTGAAGACCCAGTAGAAGAAACATCTGCGGATGGTTTATTCACTTCAAAGGATCTTATGCTTGCATTTCCTTTTGTTGTACACGTAAGCAAAGTGCAAGACCTAACAGTAGACAATAATTGAAAAAAGATCCATAACTGTATGCACTGAGGGAACAATAGCACTGATTTTAAATATATAAAAACTTCTGGAAGAGATCAATGACTGACATAAGAATATAGCAAAATTGGAGACATCTCTCACAGGTTTAAGTGCAAGACAACTTGGCTTACAGGGGACACTTGTTTAGGTTCATAACCTCACATACATGCAAGCAGTTGAAACAGAAAGTAAATAAATGAAATACACAAGTATCAATACATTGTGCATGTAAGAGATGCATTCCACAAACCACTGCACCAGACAATGCATCCTATACAATATGAGTAAGGGTACTGCAATTACTCAAACTTGGTGAAAAAAATATTAAAAAAACGAGTGAATCTAAAATTTGAACACCCAACCATACCCAAGCCCATGTCTCATAGGATGATTCAGTAGTCTAATTTTACTAGAAATTGCGTAGCCAATAAGAAAATGGGGGTTCGTGGTTACTCATTGATATCGGTAGAAAAACCATGTAAGCACATAAGGCATGTTACCTAGAAGCCAATTCCAACTTCTTTTTGGCAAATAAATGCAATCCAGCAACGGGGTCATCTTCAGGCTGAACGCCATTATTACTGGCATTGGAGACTGCGAAACGGAGATCCCCATTAAGAGGATTAAGAACTTCAACCTGCAATGCATATAAGCACCTAACATTTATCACCCCCTCTACTGAACCAGAAACCACAAATTGCTCCCACATATTCATAGTCCAAATATGCACTCACCGTGCCATTTCTTCTTGCAACAGCTAGTAACTGCAACATAGCAAAAAGGAAAAAGTTAAATAAATAAGGAAAGGAACCATTCATAAAAATACATTTTTACATATCAAGTATTAAGAAACAGAGCAACACATGCCCAATTGAAACTAAAGCACATACCCAAGACACACCTGAATAAAATGCAGAAACTCAACAGACCGAAACACATTGTATTAATTCTAACACAAACAAACAAACAAACAAACAAACAACAAACACAAAGCAACACATACTGGGTCAGATTTTCGGTCATGGATAGAGGCGGCGAGCACACATTTAGAGGAATCTGGGTCGCCCCACCTCTCAACCACCTTAGGTTCTGCTCTTCCTTGTTTACCTCGAGCTTCAATAACTATTAATGACAAAGAGAAATTTGTTGTTTAGACTATTAGCAAAAGAATTAGCAGTTGATTTTGATTGAATAAGAAATGGGCAGCTTAGGATACAGTTACCTTTTATGAGACCAAGCTCGTCGAAGGTTAGAGCTCGAAGTGGAGGGCAACCGGGACAATCGAGTGTGGTCGTACGAGGCATGTTTTACTCTCTGCTTCAACCCAGTCACAGAATTTGCGAAAGAGAGAAACCCTTAAACCCTAACCCTCAGCCTTTTTTTGTGTGTTTTTCCTCTTTCTTTTATTTGGGTCTGAAATTGGGCTGGAAGCATAAACGAACTTTTGCTAATTTTAGGTTTGGGCATACCATCAAGTTTTGGCCCAATATTTTTTTTATATATTCAACTATAAAAAAGCCTACCATCCAAATTCTTTGTAGTCCAAACCCATCACCATTAAAACCCTTAACTCACGGTGCGTTTGAAGGAAATAAACTTAAGATTTTGACAAAAGTTAGAATTTCTAAATTCACATAAATTAATTCATGAGTTTTTTTTAATAAAAAAAACTTTACAAATAAACCCCGTATCCGATACCGCTATTAAAATAACATATATTTAAAATGATATATATTCAAAATAGTCATTTTCCAAATTAGCATAATTGCTACTAGAATTCCCCAAAAAACAATAGCCCAATACAAAGGTGGAGGAAAAAGACCTATGTGGAGTTGAGAGGAAGCAGCCTTGGAACTGGTACAGCCGATCGATAAGAGTGTTGGGTTTTTTATGTTTGGTTAGCCAGCCTAGTTGGGATTAGTTAATAAGATTGGCCTAGGCTAGGGTATTATTTTAGTTTAGTCTTTAAAAAAACAAGTCTCCCGGGCTATAGCCCAGGTTAGCTTTTTATAGTAGTACCGTCCCTGCTTGGGCCTTTCCATTGACTATAAATTTGTTTCGAGTTGAACACACTGACGAAACCAAGTTAAGGGCTACCATGGGCTCTAGCCCAGGTAGCCTGTTCTGAAAATTAAAATATATTGAATTTTGGGTGACATATCTGAATGCCCAGCTAATTGAGTTGCTGAATGATTGCTGCTAAAGCTCATCTTACGGATCGGCTTCCTCATTGTCGTCGAAATGGAAACCAATAGCACCTCCCATACCTACATATCAAGTTTGTCTGGCCAAACACTCATGGTGCCTAATGAGTACCTTGTTAATGCAAATAATAAGCTTATTGTCTGGAATGCGTTGTATGATAAAGCAACATGCATTTCATCTAGGAAAAAAGAACATGAAAATGCCAATGGTCGAAAAATCGCTAGGCAGTAGGCATGCAGCAAACGGGGCCTAGCGCATATAGGAGTAATCAAAGCCTAGGCGTTTCTTTTTATTATTATTATTATTTATAATTATTTTGTATTATAAATTATAAACTTATACCAAAATCATGCAAAATAAAATGATATATAAATTAGAGGCCCAAATTAGAAAGTACCATAATTGATATAAAACATGGGGGAAAAGTTAAGCATAAAGCATATAATAATACTCTATTATTCAACATATTAGTTAAAAATATTACATTGCAATTTTTGGGTATAGACCGAAAGGGTTTTGTTTGTTGGGCCCATAACTCCTATCCATCAAAACGGTACGTATAGCTTAATAACTCCTACCCAACAAAACGACGCGTACAGCGTATTCCATTAGGTCGTAGTGTTGATAGAAGAGGGGGACATGGAATCTCATCCACTTCAATCATCAGTGAGAGGTAACATGATTTTGATTTGGATCTATATGTTCTCTAGGCAATGTTTATGCAGTGTCCCTTCCCACCCCATCATTCCAACTCATGAATTGATTAATTTACATATTAAAATGCTACAACCATTTAATCAATCATAATTAATATACGATACCATGAGTGGCGTTGACGTCCCTGTCTACACAAATACGTGGAGAGGCAAGATCGACGCATATGATTAGTTTAATTCATCTTATTTTGCAGGTCCTTCATTCACATGATTGTTTGCCAAGGAGGAGGCATGATCTGCAAATATGCAATATTCTGCATTAAAATGGCACCATCCATTGTGTTTCTATAATGTAGAAAAATGGTGACTTGCTTGTTAATTAGCAATGTTCCCCAAACATAAAGAAAAGCAGCCTAATTTTTATTATAATCAGAGTCTGCCATGTTTATGTTTACTTTAATCTGTGTTTACTGTTTCCTGGGAGAAAATTGTTTATGTCAATGTTTGAACTGATGTTACTAATTTTCACCAACCACTTGAGGATCCATAGCGTCCACAAGAATCAAGCAACACTATGAACTTTCTTTTAGTCTCCTTTGAATGTGAAATGTTTATTATTGGTTATCTTCCTTGAGAGAAATAGAATCTTGAAAGTTTGTGACCTCACTCAACTCCCTAAATTGACACTGAAACGTATTGACGAAATTCTGAGCTTATTCAAGATCTGATCTTAAGAGGCAAAGCGAGTGCAACTTGTCCCACATCGCTTAGTTCCTATCACACACTACGCTTTATAAACCCAACACGCGGTTATTGAACCGCCGAGCTTTGTAACACAAGCTTGTAACCCGAGTGGGGGCTTTGAGATGCTGGAATATTGGCTCAGTTAAAG